AATATAGCAACTTGAATTGTGGGAAAATGAGTAACAGTTAGAGATTTGTCATGTTTTCTTTGATCATAAATCAATTATTAAAAATATTATTCTTACAAAATAATCTTTTTTGAATTTCAGAGTATTGCTATTACCAGTAAAAATTAATGATAAACCTTTAAAAAGTCTGCCTTGTAATTGGTTATTTTATCTCGAAATCTGTTGCCCTTAAGTATTCAGAACATGTAAAATTTTGTAAGAATTCTTTCATCAGAAAAAGCCTTTGAAATTTTCTCATACTGTCAATAGACTAGGAGTATAATATTCTTAATTCTAAACGGGAATCTCCCCCTTCTGTATATTAATATACCATGCCAAAACGTTGACAACAGCAGCTAAAGTGGATCACTCTACACTGGACAAAGATAAGAATTGATGAAATTTGTAAGAACAGCCTATGTTTAGATCCAGGTGGGAAGCAGGTCACTGTGGGTCTCCAGTCTTGGCCACATTCAACTACATGAGGACGGACTTACATAGATCTGTTTTCTTGTAGTTCAACTTTCTTGTCAAATTCTGTTTGGGGGTTCATAAGTGTAAAAGCACATGATATACATATACATATACATATATGTAATTATATATATTACATGAAATCAACTAAAATTGTGTTTTAACTACTTTGTTTTATTTCCAATGAACAACAATCAAAAACATTAAAGTAAGATATAATAGGTGAATGAATTGTTTGGTGGTTACTCTTAGTCACAGTGAGATAATAATGAGACAATATCTTCATCAGAAAGTGGAAATGGTGACTTTCTGCCTTAAGGGAGCAGGGGACTCAGAGTTGTAAACTTCCCCTCTGTCTTGATCTTTCTTGTGCAGGAGTTATATATATATATATATCATATATAATGTATACATGATATATATATATAAAGTAAATATATATATATATATATGACTTGGGAAAGAGGAGTCTTGGCAGTGGAATTGTTTGTGTCCGTTAAACTGGATTCAGTGTTGGTAGGGTGGAGTATGACCCTATTTGTAGGGGATTTGGGGTCTTATCAAGGAAAAAGAGGTGACCACAGAGTGGCAGTAGCACACACATTTATTGGGTGAAACTTTGAGGAGCTCACGGGGACAAGTCCTTCACAGCAGGAGTCTTTGCAGAGCTGACGGTGCCAGGTTGCTATTCAGAAAGGAAGGAAACAAGAAAACACGTGAGGAAAGGGACCCTGGAGAATGGAGCTTATGTGTCTAGGTGATGTCACACAGCAGCAAGATGGGGAGCCCTTGGGTCAGAAAGCTCCAGAGGACAGTTGCAGTTTGGGGATTTTATTGCCTGAATCTTACCTTATTTATTGGCAGCAGGTGAGGTTTCCTGGCATATACAAAGCAAGCAGTGTCTAAATGGCCAAAAAATAAAATTTGAGGGCTATTTTTGAAATAATTAGTTGTGTAAAATTTGAACTTGATGGTAGTAGTTTTAAAATAAACCTGCAGTTTAGCAATACACAACTTCGAGGGCAGTAAACAGAACTTTGATTCATTTATATAACACTGTTGCACATCCTGTAGTCTTTGTCCTGTAGACTTTATCAACCCAAGCTGTCCAAACCCATAATGCTTTGCACTAGAATACATACCCAGTTGTGTGTTTCCTTCACATACCCAAAGAGAGGCTCCTTATAGCATTGATTGTGGTGAAGGATTCATGGGTGTGTACTAATCTTCAAACTCATGAAACTGTGTACATTAAATATGTACAGTTTTTTTTGTATGTCAATTATCTCAATAAAATGGTTTTTAAAATCTCAACTAGCAGAGATTTTTAGTCTAGTCCCAAATGCAGATTGTCTAGAGTGGATTCCTGGCTTCAAGGCACTTGTAATGAAAGCTGATTGTCTTTTCTAAATAACTATAAATTGTCACCCGGAAGAAGTAAAATTCATGGCTAACCATTCTGTGTTACAGGTTCAGAGAAGGCTCTGTGGGTGTGTTTAATCCTCCAAATTTATATATTCTCTCTAAACACTGGGAGATATTAGTATGTTTACATGTCTGACTTCTCTGAGTCGTCAAGACCCCATTTTTGATCTACCTAATATGAATTTGTATCCAAATGTTTAAATTCTTTTTCTTTCTTTTTACTTGAAGTAGATACTAAAAAAATCCTGCAGAGGTACTCAACCAAACCATAAAAATGAGTTTGAGAATCATGTGTTAGAGATGAAGGCTTTTTATCTGTAAATGGTAAACTTTCTGCTAAGCCCAGCTCACCCATGGACTAACTGGATAAAGTGAGACAATAATTCCATTGCCTACCTGAGCATTCCCCACCTTGCATTGAGAGTTATACCTGATGTAAATGACGAGTTGATGGGTGCTGACGAGTTGATGTGTGCAGCACACCAACATGGCACAAGTATACATATATAACAAACCTGCAAGTTATGTTCATGTACCCTAGAACTTAAAGTATAATAATAATAATAATAATAATAATAATAATAATAATAATAATTTTTACCTTCCTCTAAGATCTCTGCTCTAGGCTCACTCTTGAAGACAGGGTCTTCTATCTTGAAAAGAAATTTTTCTCAAAAGCCAGAGCTTGTTTGGAAGTTTAATAATTTTCCGGTTTTTTAATGTGAGATTTGTCTATTCCACCTTGTAAGAAAATTTGATTTGCCAGACAAATGAAAAGTGGAAAAGTCAAGAAGAGTTTAGAGATAGAATCAAGGACAAATAGCATTTTAAACTGTGGTTACATCTATCTTTGAAATAAGAATTTGTATAAATATATCGAAATGACAAAGTAAATAATTTTTTTGTATTTTTAATTTAGATAAGATAGTTTACTTGCAGGAAAATGGAGAATATGAACTTAGAATTCTCAAATTCAATGTTTTTTCTTCCAGTTTAAATAATTTCAAGAATCTATAAAATACTTACATAAACTTTAAATAAATAAATTTTAAGAGCTTCAGAAAAAATCAAAGACCAAATTAAATCCCTTACACTAATTTCTGAAATCAACCAAAATTGTGTTTTAATCACTTTGTTTTATTTCCTATGAACAACAATCAAAAACATTAGATAAAGTAAGATGCAATAGGTAAATGAAGTGTTTGGTGGTCACTCTTAGTTATAATGAGATAATAATGAGAAAATATCTTTATCAGAAAGTGGAAATGGTGACTTTCTGCCTTAAGGGAGCAGGGGACTCAGAGTTGTAAACTTCCCCTTCATCTTGATCTTTCTTGTGCAGGAGCCGCGGGTAGCCCACTGTTTCAGTGGTCTTTGAGTAGCAACAGTCCTCATCTTTCTGTAATTCTCGAAATGTTCATACTGGTTCCTCTATAACACTTTTTATGCCAAATAGAAAAATAAGGATCAGTAATAAAATAAAAAGAAATAAAATAGAATAAAATAAAATAAAATAACTTATGAACTCCTGGAAGTAGTTGTGGGATAAAATTACGAAGTTTAACAAAAAACTAGAGCCTACAACAACTTACTAAAAACTAATTTAGTCAAATTTTACTCTTATTTTATACTCTTGCTCTCACAAATTAGGAATTTTCTCAACCCAAAGAATGATTGCCTTTCTTACATTCTGGAATCCTGACAGCCACAGGTGAAATTTGAAACTATGAGAATTTATACTAACAAGAATATCCTAGGAAATCTGTTATACAAAAATTAACTATTTAGAGTAAAATAGAAGGAAAAACTTGTTGATTCCATGGAAATAGTTAACTGAATATTTGCTGGTCAATAAAGCTAATTCTAAGTATGCCCCTACATAACAGTGACATCATTGTTTCTGGATTAATGCTAAATTTTCAAGATTAGTTAAAAGCAATTTGCCTTGGATTCAGACTCATAATATTGGTCATAACTGTAATTCAACTACCACCAGAAGTTGTAGAAGACAACAACAAAAAAAGAAGAGATAATGAGAAATATGTTACTAAATGTACCCCAATGTTAACATTTGTGAAGGAGAGGGGAGTGTTTTATGAATATTCATTTTCATAGCACTGATATCTTCAATTTGATAAGCAAATGCAAATCTTTAAACCAGAACTTGGAACAGGGTAAATATGGCTCTCATGAATTTGACCTGACTGCACCCTGGGGTTGTATTGACATAAGGACTAGACGGAGGTACACACAGCAGAAGTAATGAAAAATTATAATGTCAAATTGTAGATCCTCCTAACTAAAGCAGCTCAGATACTGTATAAAGATTTAAAAAAAAAAGTTATGTGAAAATGCCCCGGAACTGTTTCTGGGCTGCCTAGTAACATCCTGGCTGTGGTTGGATGGCTGATTTACCCAGCTGGAGGTATCAGTACTGTACAGCTGAAATTTGTGGGCACTTCCCTCTGCAGTTGTCACCAAATGGATTATACTTTTATTTTCAAAGTCCACTTGTGATTCTAAGAACTCTCCTTTTCTCTCACAAAAGGCAGTTGAGGCAAATCAAAGACTTTTGGGATAAAATGTTATATCCGCTATGAAATGACAAAGTCTATTCAGATATTTGCAAACTAAACATTTTCACTAATTGCTGTGCGCCACACGCCCGCTGAGTATAGCTTGTGTAGAGTGAAATCACAGGCATGTAAGTGGCGGTTTGGTACAACTGGTAATGGAGAGGTAGGAAGTTAAAGAGTGGGAAAATACCAATTTCTGAATATTACCAAATATTATCGTGTTAAAAATATAACAAAATCTGCTAATCCGAACCTATACCCAACCTTTGTAGCCATGAGTATGCCTCAATTTTCTTGCTGTTAGGCTGACTAAATCTCATTGACAAATGCAGGAAACTCAGGGAGGATCAGAATGCACTTTCAAGGTAGCTCTCTCTTCTGTCATGTCTAGTTGTTCAGAGATCACATTGATCACCTTCATTCTTCTGCTTGAGCCATGTGAAATAAGGCTGTTACAGTGATGGGGCCAGAACCGTCTGGATCTTTCTGCACATTATTCCGTCCAGTCATCTAACATCTACCTGTGAAGCCTACTCAGAATCTGCCATACAGGCTTCCCACGCAAACACCTGTGGACAGCTGAGCCATCTCAAATAGGAAGGTTTGTGTTCGGAGCTGTACCACTGTGTGAGGACCTTGCAGACCCTCTTCACAGCAATAAACTCCAACATCCTCAGCCTCCACCTTGCTGAATTTAGGTGTGAAACCTGTCCCTGACCTGCTGCCACTGAACCTGCTTGGGACTCCATAGAATTTGCGAGAAATTGTGTAGATAAGAAGCCGTGGAGACTGGCCTGGCTTCTGCAGGTACCAATCCAAATAGGTATTTCCGTCACTATGTAGGAAGCTCTGACTAGACCTGCAGGAGATGGAGGCCGGCTGTCCAGGAGGGACAGGTAAGGAGAGTGGATTCTGGATCATCACAATATCCCCACTCGATCCTAAAATAATAACAGTGAGAAGTACATTACATACAAACATTGTGAGGCATTTTTATAATTTAGTTTTATTGTATATGTTAGGCTACTTTTTTGTGTTTGATTAGATTCATACACTACATTTATCCAATATCCGAAAATGATCCAATAATTAAAGGCACAAAGTGGCCTCTTTCTTTTTGAAGTTCTCAACAGTGCACTATTTTTTTTCCTTGTGGCTTGTTCTTAGTTCTTACAAGTCTAAATATTAAATTCCCTTTGCTGAAGGGCAAGACATCTGCATCTGACATGTGGACAGAACACAAGTGGGAGGCAGTAGAATCCCCAAAGCTCACCCTCCAGTCCCATTCTCCTCTCTTCTGTCCTTACCAGGGACCCAGAGCATCAGCAGCCCCAGGAGCTGAGCAGGGAGCCTCATTGCGAGAAGGTGAGCTGAGGAGTCCTGATCACTCAAAGCAAGGTTAGAGATGAGCTTTTACCTCAGGTTCACAGGGGAAGGTCTTCTCTAGGGTACAACATGCAAATCCCCTGGTGAGTGCAGTAGTGAAGAAAGATCCAGTTGGGATCAAAGAGTGGGCTTCTTATGTAAGCAAAGTGACACAAAATATCTTTTGTGCTGGTGCAACCAAAATAAAATATTGGTGTTGCCTGGCTTATAAGGGTGACGTTCTGAAATACTATGAATCAATGTGGAAGACAGTGTGACTGCAGCCTGTCACTCTTCACAATTCATATGCTGCTGATGCAATGGAGATTCTTATGATGAAGATGTGTGTCAATCTCTAGGTGGTGAATAAGCTTTCTTCTTGGCTCCACCCAGCTAATTCTTAGGAGGAAATAGCTCTCACTAACTCTGGTGCTCATTGATAGAATGTCTCTAAGTATCAAAGTATCAGGATGAACTTGAAACAGTTCTAGAGTTATTTGGCTGTAGTTGCAAGACTGATTTCCTGCAGCTTGTATTTCACTGTAGTTGGTATTTCTGGGCACTTGGCTCTATAGCCGCCATTAAATGGCACTAAATGATGCTCCAGTGAATAAGCTAGCTGTAAAGTGTGCTTCATAAACAGAGTTCACGGGAAGAGGAATGCATATTCCATTCCATTGTATCTAATAAGTGTCTTTGTCTTTGAAGGCAGGAAGGACCTGGTAGGCCTTTATGGATTCTGGAGGCAAGAAATTCTATACCTTGGAATACTGTTCTGGCTCACTGACCGACTGATACAGGAGTCAGCCAGCCTTGTGTGGGACGGGGGCCAAAAAAAGGGCTCTGCAGCAGGTTCAGCCTGTAGCAGCCCTGCCTCTCAGGCCAGTGCAGATGCAGATGAATTGGACAACACAATAAACCATCTGGACATAATTGACGCTTTGAGAACACTCCACTAGCACACCAGATTGCATAATCTTTTCAAAACATTTACTAAAATAGACCATATTGTTACCAGAAAAGGGGATTTTGAACCAAACTCCAAGAGAGGATTCTTGGATTTCATGCAGGAAGAAATTCAAGGAAAGTCACAAAGTGCAGTGAGAAGAGATAGTTTATTGAAAACTACTCCATTACAGAGTAAGGCATCCTCAGAAAGCAAGCAGAGGAGCACACCATCTTTATTTTAAGTTTTTCTTATATAGGAGTGTTGCCTATGTAACGACTAAACAAAGCTGTGCCTACATGCGGATGAGCAGACATTATGACAAAATTTATTATTCTGTTGATTTAAGGGAAACTATTCTTGACATTCTAGTGTGTGAATACATCAAAGCATACCTATAGTTATTTTGAAAGCACATACAGTTATGAGATTGGGACATCTGGACTTTCCGCTGCTGTAGAAGTATGTCCTTGCAGGTATCCTTAGGCTGTTTCTTCAACTATGAACATCTTATGACCATGGATCATGACTGGCAAGGAAAGTGCCTTGTTAGTCTCAAGATGGAGCTGTATTTAAAATGGCATTACTCTGGCTCTCCTAGGTTTCACTTTAATATTTTGAGCCACAAGATATTTTGATAAAATTAAATAGATTCAAATTATGCAAAATATATTTTTGAAATCAAGAAAATTATATTTGAAATTCACAACAGAAAGTTATAAGAAAAATCCCCAAATATTTGAAAACAGAATAACAAAACACTAAAAAGAAATCTGGATCAAGAAGAAACAAAAAATGAAATAAGAAAGTATTTTGTACTAAAATACAACATGGAATATCAGAATTTCTGGAATGTAAGAAAGCAGTCAATGCATAGCATTGAACTTACAGCACTAAGCAGGTATATTAGTAAAGTATTAAACCAATCAGCTCAGGTACCTGCCATACTAGTAAAAGAAAAATTAAAGTAGAAATCAGGACCTTCTACACTTAGAGACATAGGAAAGTGATAAGCACTGTCTAGTGCTTATTTTTTTTTCTAGACATCAGTCTGAAAATAAAAACACATATTAGCGACTTCACAAAAGTCTGAGAGTGGATGGGCAGAATGAGTAACTGTTAAGAGGGAATGAGAAAGCAGGGAAAGTCAAAACAGGATCAGTATGTGATATTATTAGGGACTGTAGATATGTGAAACTCCATGAGCTTTGACTTAGTGTTGTGGTTTGCATGTTTGATCCCTGCAAATCTTATGCTGAAATGTAATCCCCAGTGTTGGAGGTTGGGCCTAGTGGGAGGTGTTGGATCACAGTGGTGGATCCCTCATGAATGGCTTAGCACAATTCCCTTGGTGATGAGTGATTTCTCAATGAGTTAGTTCACAGATGATCTGGTTGTTTAAAAGAGTCCAGGTCCTCCCCCTTCTCTCTCTCTTGCTCCTGCTCTTGCCATGTGATACACTTGCTCCCGCCTCACCTTCCTCCATGATTGTAAGCTTCCTGAGACCTCACCAGAAGCAGATGCTAGCACCATGCTTCTTGTACAGCCTACAGAACTGTGAGCCAATTACATTTCTTTTCCTTATAAATTACCTAGCCTAGGTATTCCTTCTTAGCAACACAAGAACAGACTGACACACTTGGTCAAAAGATAATAGTCATGCAGTACAGGCAGCTTTCCATTCTTCTGGTGATTGGTGCCAGTGAAGGTCACTTGACAAAGGCATAAAGTGCCCTGAAGGTCATCAGTGGCAGCAGGTGATGCCAGGACGTGCTATGGTCTTGTCACAGTCTGTTTAGTTTTGCTGTAAAGGAATACCCGAGGCTGAGTAGTTTGTAAAGAAAAGAGGTTTATTTGGCTCATGATTCTGCTGGCCGGAAGACTGAGTGTCTGATAAAAACCTCAGGCTGCTTCCATGCATGATGATAAACAAAGGGGAGCTAGTGTATGCAAAGATCAGGCCAGACAGGAAGCAAGAGAAGGAGAGTGGAGGTGCCCAGCTCTTTTTAACAACCAGCTGTCTCAGGAACTAGCAGAATGAGAACTTCCTCTCCCTCCAGGGAGGGTATTGATATATTCATGAGGGTTCTTTTCCTGTGATCAAAACACCTCCCACTAGGGCCTACCTCCAACATTGGGAATAACATTTCAACATGAAGTCTGGGGGACAAAAAAATCCAAACTACAGCAGGTGTCCTCCCAGTGACATATGTGAGTTTCCCTGCAGCCTTGAAAGGCAGTTCGTGTAGAATGCTATCTCTATTATCTTTGTGGAGTGGGGAGATAAGTAGAAAATAAGAGATAAAGAAAGTTGGAAAAGTGGAAAAATACCAGTCTCTGAATATTACTAAATATTTTATGCTTAAAAATACAGCAAAAATTGCCAAACCCCAAGATGTATTCAATATGAATTGTCAAAAATCTATGTCAATAGGCTGGCTATTAAGTTGACTAAATTATATAGACATACATAGGTAAAATCAGTGGGATTAGGATGAGCTTTTATTCACCTTTCCTTTCTTTTATGCTTGTTTACTCCGAGGGCACTTGGATCCCCTCATTCTTGCACTGTTTATGTAAGGGCCACTGCAACTGATGGGCCTAAATAGGGGTGTCTTAGCTGTAGCTGAGGCTCCCATGGTCCAGAGTCCACAGCTACACCTAGCACATCACTTATTTATGGTTGTGGGAAATTATTCCCTGTTCTGCAGCATCTTCCACTGACACAGACTCAGATAAGCTGCTAAGCTGCTTTTTGGGCAACAAGAAATAAGAGCAGCTGGGCCAGAGCAAGCAGGAAGGTTTCTGTTTGGGGTTGTATCACTGTGGGTGGAAGTTGTGTACTTTGCGTGCGGTAATAAAATCCTACATCCTCAGCCTCCACCCTGTTGATCTTCAGTGTAAAATCTGTCTCTGACCCACTGCCGCTGAACCTGTCTGGGACCCCAGAAAACCGGTTAAAAAAACTTTATAGATCAGGAGCCGTGGAGACTGGCCTGGCCTCTGCAGGTATCAGCACAAATAGGTGTTTCCATCACTGTCCACAAGACTCTGACTGGACCTGCAGGAGATGGAGGCCGGCTCTCCAAGGGTGACGGGCAGGGAAAGTGGAGTCTGGGTCATCACAATATCCCCACTGGATCCTGAAATTAGGAGAGCAAAATGTAAGGGTATAAACAAACATTAGGAGACATTTTCATTGTTTTTCTTTTGTTATTTATTTCATAATAAGTCATTTTTAGTTTCTGCCTTATTTTGATTTCTACATTAAAATCTATCAATTTCTAAAAAAAACAAAAACAAAAACAGAGATTTGCAAAGCACAAAGAAGTCTCTAGATATCACCTACATCATAACCCCCTTTCTGTGTCAGAATCTTCACCAGAGCAGAAGCCCTTGTTCCTTCTAGAATCTTACTCACTCTCACAGATTTAAACCTCACATGGCTCATCCTGGAGGATAAGGCAAGCACACCTAACACATGGGAGATAGAGGGGCCCCCAGAGCTCACCTTCCCACCCCATTCTCCTCCCTCATCTCCTTCTCTCCTTCCCAGGGACCCAGAGCACCAGCAGCCCCAGGAGCTGAGCAGGGAGCCTCATTGTGATAAGGTGACCTGAGGAGTCCTGATCAGTCAAGGCAAGGTTAGAGCTGAGATTTTATCTCAGACTCACAAGGGAAGGTCCTCCCTTGGGGACAATATGCAAATCCCCTGGAGAGTACAGGAGCGTAGAAAGAGCCAGCAGGTACAGGGGAGGCATGTTGTGTGAGCAAAGTGACATAAATTTATTTTTCCTTTGGAGGACACCTCATATATTAATCCATGAGAAGACTCAAGTCCAACAACCTTGACTGAGAGAAAATAATGTGTCTCTTACAGATGGAGAGGTAATAGCTCAGTTTAAGGCAACAGGAAAATGGGAAATAATTTTGTGTCTCAGTAAGTGGATATGAAATTCCCAGTAGCTAGTTGTTACAATCAAAGGATTTCTAAGAAAAAATTCCCTTGAGACAATGGGTCACAATAAACAAAAGCTAATTTTAT